TCACTCAAACATGGCCATGTTGCCATGCAAACTTCATTTGACAACACCCACAGTGCTTCCCTTTGCTACTTGCCTCTTCCTGGTTCTCCCATGTATTCTATAAACATCCATGAGCATGGTTGCTTTGTGGAGTTGGGCTCACCTTTCCCAAGACAGAATGAGGAGAATACATTGCCGGGGCCCTGGGGTTTGCACCCTTCCCTCTATGGCAGCCTTGTCCATTTCCCCCAGAGCACTGGTATTTCTGGGTGGATTTCCCATGTAGAGAATGAGACACTTTCCTCCTTGGTTCCATAAAGAGAAAACAGGAATTTGTAGAAGACACTTCCTAAGAAAATACAGGCAAACCCAAACTAAAGCCCTAAAACAGAGAATAAGTGAGGTTTCTAGCAATGCACTCCGAGCTGCCCAGATGCTGGAGGTACCGTTTCCCTTTCTGTGCCACAATGCTTTTCTTTCCACTTAATGATTATCTCCACAGGCAAAGGACCTCTGTGAGGCCTTGGGTGGGTGGCATCCTACATGGCCATCCTGTTGCCTCCACCCAGGAACCCAAACAGGAGAGCACTGTAACCAAGCCCAGGGCCTGGAGGGTTTGTCCACGAACACAGAACCAGCAAAGAGAACTTCAAAGCTTTGACACTAAGTTCGCAGCAACCCAGAACCCACGTTACACTTCCAGACTTGTGTACTTGGTCCCTGGGCATGAGACAAATGGGTTGATTGGCCTGCCCTGTTCCTTCTCACAAATTACTGACTCCTTCCTGTAGCATCCAGCCCATCTCCCTGGCATCTCTGAGACATGTGGTTCCCATGCCTCACTATTCTGTGTCTTGTCATTTTTTAAAAAAAAGTTTGAAAGACAGACTTGCAGAGAGAGGGAAAGGCAGGGAGAAAGATCCATTTACTGGTTCACTTTCAGGTGTCCAAAACAGCCAGAGCTGAGCTGATCGGAAGCCAGGAGCTTCTTCCAGGTCTCCCATGTGGGTGCAGGGTCCCAAGCTCACCCAGGCCACAAGCAGGGAGTTGGATGGAAAATGAAACATTTGGGGCACGAGCTGGTGCCCATATGGAATTCTGGTACTTGCAAAGCGAAGATTTAGCCACCGAACCATTGCGCCAGGTCCCATTCTGTGTCTCGTTTTACCCATGGGACACCTTGACCAGCCTCCTTGTACTGTTGTGACAACGGCTGCTGCTTATAGCAAATTGCTGGTCTCATTGGGAGCTGCAAATCCCACGGAGTTCTCATCCCATTACCCGGGGGCAGATTTTCCCTCTCCTTTCCTGTGGAGTCACCCCTTCCTGTCTCCTTTTTGAGGTATGAGAAGTCTGCTTACCCTTATGGATGGAGGTCTACTTACAGAGTGCCATGGCTATTGGTTTTTAGCATGCAGTCACAGCACATAAGGTAACAGGACAATCTACAGTAGAAGGATGGATTCATGAGCAAGACCAGGACGCTCATGGTCTGGAGGTATGTCCTACCACAGCCAGAGCCCCAGGCCAGCCCCACCTGAGGGTGCATTTTACCTTTCTATACCTGCATGTGGCTGACAGGTCTCGGGGATCAGCATTTTCCAGATGATTTGGCCAACCTCCTTCTGCCTGCTTCCACCTTGGTGTTCAAATATCAAGGATATTTATTTCATCATCTCTTCATGTTAAAATGTCACACTGTGCCCACTGCTCCATGGCAGCAGCTGAATATCTGGAACAATCTGTTCCTCGGGTCTACCTGGACTTTGCATAATTTATCTGATGGTCCTTGAGTCTTAGGTAATGTAGTTCAGGAAGAGCATCGTGTTAGCTGTCGGATGTACATGAGCGTTTCCTTACCAAGGGTCAGGCTAACTGATTACCACGGAATTATCTTCCTTGTAGCTTTAAATGAGTTGGAAGGTCATTTATTTCAGTGTGCTCTTAGGCCCTAACATGCACAGGTTTTCTGCAGTCTGCGCTGAGAAGGAAGACACCCATTCACGAGCCAGTTACCTTTGAGCATGACTCTGGTCAAACCAAAAATGTGTTCTCACGCTGAAGAATGGGCCTAGGGTTTCAGAGCCTGATTGATTACTTCTCATTTGTTTATATCAGGTGAGAATCTTAGTAAGAATGCTAGCAAGAGGCCAGCCTGGTGGTTAAGACCCTGTTAAGATGTCCACGGTCCATCTCATAGTACCTGGGTTTGAGTCCTGACTCTCACTCTTGACTTCAGCTTCCTTATAATACACAATCTAGAAGGCAACTGTGTTCCTGCCCACCCACCCACAGAAGAGTCCTACATTGAGTTCTTAGCTCTGGCTTTGGCCCAACCCAGCACTGGCTATTGTAGCCATGTAGGGGGTAACCCAATGGTGGAGGACTCTCTCTTTCTCTCCCCTTCTCTGTCTTTCCTTCCTTCTCTCCTCCTTTCTCAAATAAATACATAAATTTAAAAATATATACTCATATGGGAGTGGGCATTTAGCCTAGTGGTTAAGAAAACCTATGTCCTACATCAGAGTGTTCGAGTAGATTTCCTGGCTCTGGACCCTGACCTCAGCTACCTGCCATTACAGTCCCAGGACACAGAAGATGAGAGCTCAAGTAATTGGACTCTTGACACCAGTCCCAGCTCTTGTAGGCATGTAGGAAGTAAACCAAGAGAGGAAAGAGTTCTCTCTCTCTCTGCCTTCCCTCATTCCCTCTGTCCCTCCCTCCTTCCATCCCTATCCTTCTCTCAAACAAATACATTAAACATCTTTTCTAAAGATGTGAACTTGGGAGTGGGCATTTAGTCTAGTGATTATAACATATACATGTCTCCCATCAGAGTGTTTGAGTTCCGTTCCTGGCTCCAGATCCTGACTCCAGCTACCTGCCAAGACAGATTCCGAGAGGCAGAAGATTGGGTTCCCACTACCCACGTGGGAGACCTGGATTGGTTTCCTGACTTTCAGCTTTGATCCAATGCCGCTTGTAGCTACTTAGGACATCTGGAGACTGAACCAGTATCTCTCCCTGTGTCTCAAAAAGCAAACAAACGAGCCAAATGCCAGCTAGAGCTCCCTTATGCATGTCCCCAGGTCTCCTGGCTCCTACACCAGGGAAATGCCAGAGGCGAGACTCCACATGCCTGTGAGGGCAAGAGAATCCACCTACAAAGTTAGGCCGAAACAAAGAGCCTGAGGACCACTGCTAAAGAGACAACGTGCAGAGGTCCAGGGCCCAATGCAGATCCACATGGAAGCATGGACTCCGCACAAGCCCTGTGGCTCTTCACACTGATCCCCATTCTGACAAGCCACTGCTTATATTCTTGGAGGCCCAGGTAATAGATTTGGTTTCAAACACAGCACCGATGAATGAGAAAGATCCAGCTGCCCTTGAGTTCACGATCTGTACATATGGAGTCCAAGGGGTTGCTGAATGTTCTGTCTGAATGTATTTCCAGACCAGCCTCAAAGGTGGCACATTGGGGAGCATGCAGTTAGAAGCAAAGCTGTGTCACAGTGTCATGATGTCAAATGACCTCTCACATGGGACAGTTGACATTGAGCCAAGCCATGTTTCTAACAGTTTAAAGACCAAGTTTGTTCTTGTGGTTAAGCATTTCCATTGAAAATGAACTGTGATGTTTGCTCTCAGAATTGCCATTTTATACACGAGTGGCAAAATACAATTTTCTATAAATAAATACAATATTTTCATGTACCAGTTGGGCTTGAGATATTATCCAATTGTGACTCAAGTGTCTTGAAATATGAAAATGCAGAATACAGTAAGAGCTCTCTAAACAAATCGCCCCTTAGTTGACTTGTCACATAAACACTCTGCCGCTCGCCGTGTTTTGCCCCAATTCTGAAGCTCATCACAAATCTGAACCTCTGAGCTCCATTCCTTCTTCTGAAAGGGACAAACATCAAAATATTCTCTGAAAATGCAAATCATTGTGCCCTATAAGGCGAAGAGGCTCTGGCAAAGTTACTGGCTGTGAGCACACACAGTCGCCAATCAGTGCATGTCTGCTAAATGAACAAGCAACCAACAACTCCTGGGCAACGCATTTGGGAATTCCCCATCCATTCCTACAAATGAGCAGGGAGAGGGTTTCTGGCAGGCAGCCTGAGGTCACAGAGCCTCCCTTTCAGGGCTTGGGGGCAAGGAAAGATCAAGAAGTTACGATACTTCCAACACAAATGTCTCACAATAGCAAAGAACAGGACCCATCTTTTGAGCTGGGGAATTCACTGTACAGGGAGAAGCAGTTGCCTGGTCTATGCTCCTTCCCCTGTCAACAGGTAGCTTTGTCTCCAGTACAGACACCAACATGGCTGCCAAGCTTGCATTCCTGCCTTCGACAACCACCAACAGGGACGTCACCCAAGGCAGAAAGATCTAGGAGACAGGCAGCAAGCAGTAACAAATCCTGGATCAGACAGCAATGCACAGCCATTCTGTAACTGGTCACTGCAACAAAGGCACATCGCGGGAGAAAGCCACATCTCTGTGGAGATGCCTGCTAAAGCCTCACTCGCCCGAGCTCCTGCCCCGGCACTGCCACAAAGGCCTCTTGTGAAGGGCCAACAGCAAACATGCACCTCTTCCTGGTTTTGCGTTCTACTGGAAACCACATTTAAGTGGTACCACTTTACCTGACAACATCCAGGGTGGTGGGACTGGAGGGGCAAGGGAGCAGCTGCTGCTGATCAGTTAGAGGGCTAAGAAAGTGGTACATAAGGTGCGTCCCAGCACTCAGAATCACGTAGCTGGGGCCCCGTCTGACCGTTGATTTTTGTTTTGTTTTGTTTTAACCCAGAGGACTCCCTGCAAAAACTACAGCCCTGACTGCCACCTTCCAGGAAGGCAGGGCTGCTGTGCATCTCATCCATCCTCCACAGCAACAGAACAAGCCATGAATGGGCCTGCAGCACTGTGTGCTGGTGCTGTCGGCGGAGCCACTTCCCTGAGAGATGATTTGGACCACTCTCCCTCATCACAGAAGACACATGCCTTACCAGGATCATGTGGCCAGTGGAGATGTCCATGTTTGACTGGACGGGCTCCTCGGACCAGGACGAGGTACTGCTCCGGGCCGAGGGGCTGGGCATTGGCCCGTCACTGAACTGGGAGGAGACGCTGTTGATGCGGGATGTGTGTTGGCCTTCGGGGCGGTCCGATGGCCGCACAGCCATGCGTTGGCGGCACAGTTCCTGGAAGAGAGTGGGAGGGAGAGATTAGGGGGTTCCTGATCCTGGGACACTCTCATTCCCTGTACCCCAACAGCATATTCTGAGGCCCCCTACATTGGAGTTACTCCTTTCTCGTGTGGGAAAGAGGAAACTAGAGTTACACTCAGAAAATGCTTCAGGTTACATGGAGCTGGGAGACTTCCAGGAATAAATACATCCACACACCCACACACACTGGTACATACATGCACATACAGATCACACATTCAGGAAAGGGGCCTCTTCTGCTTCCTGCTCTGTGGTCAAAATGGAATCTCTGCTCTGTGGTCAAAATGGAACCTACAACAGAAAGGACAAGGTAGGCATCTTTCCTTTCTCTTGAAATATAAACCCTCAGGGAGGTAAGCGTGATTTTTACCCTCTGGTATAAATACAGACACTAGTACCATGATCAGAGTGTTGAGCAGGGAGGAAAACACCCACCATCTCATTTTGGTGTTTATCTTACCAAAACAACTTCCACAGACAAAAGCCCATGCAAAACTGTATCAGCGGAACCACATGCCAAAAAGAAAGCAGAAGGTCACGAACAAAGTTTAACTCTTTCTGACAGAACTTTTTGGATTTAAATGAACTTCTCAAGATTACAGGCTAGAGCTTTAGCTGGGTCTCTGCAGGATGTATGACTTTCTCCCATGAGGGCAATGTGTGAACATGGGGCACTCCGGGCACACTCAGCACCTGTCATGCACGGGGTGGGCGGGAGGGAAGGGGACCAGTCTAGAGACCAGTGCTGCCATGCAACTCAAGCTGTGGCTTCCCCAGGTACTGACAGGGAGGAAGCCCGGCTGCTCATGGCCATTGCCAGACTCAGCCTGTATCCTCTCCCCATCACTTCTGATGGACAAAACACCATTTTGGAAGCGTTCTCACAGTTACCGTAGGTTGGAATGTATCCTCTGCCTGGTGAAAACCTAACTGAATAAAGCGGGTTCCAGATGTGTGCTGAGAATCGGCGCTCAACAGGAGTTGGAATGTACTCACAGGGAGAAGAAAGCGTTGGGCAGAGCGGCACGGTTTGTGTGTTTCCCTTCCCTTTCATTTTTGTGGCATCCAGGGGACGTCACACCACCCAGTGCCCCCAGCCAGCTGAGCATATCCAAACGTCCAACAGCTTCCCTGGGCAACCACTGCAGACCAGGAAACGTGGAAACATACTCCCATTTTCCCACACACCCTGGGCTACCATTTTCCTTGGCTTTAAAGCCAGCTGACACCACACAGAAGCTATTTTCTTGGAGTTCTCTTCTCCAGGATAGCTAGCTAACGGGCAAGGCGAGACACAAGCCCTCTGGGAAGGCAGCGCCTTCCAGAGCTAGCATCTTACACATCCCTGAGGCCCCTGGCAGAACAACAGTGATGGTGAAAATTACTTAGGGCAAGCAAGAAGAGACCAAGAGGAAAAGGTCAACTCAGGAAAAAAGGGGTGGGGGGCCTATTGTGAGGCTAGCCAACTTCTAACAAAAGGAAGAACTGGAGAACAAAATCATGTACACTTAAATAGCAAAATGATGGACTTATGAAAGACTGTCATTGTAATAATATGGGGGAAATCAGTTGCGGGGTGGGAATTTGGGGAGGGGATAAGGGAAATCCCAGAGCCTGTGGAATTGTATCATACAATTAAAAATTTAAAAAAACCAAAATTATGAATGCATTTCTACTTCCTTCTTACCCCTATATGTTGCAGTCCATAATGGTATTCACAAATATATATATGAAATATATATATTTATATATGTGTTTATTTGAAAGGCAGAATTACACAGAGACAGAGAGATAAACAGACAGAATCTTCCATTTGCTGATTCACTCCCCAAAAGGTTGTAATAGCTGGAGCTGAACAAATATGAAGCTAGGAGCCAGGAACTACTTCCAATTCTCCCACATGCATGCTGGGCCTTTCCAGTGTTTCCCTAGGCCATTAGCAGGGAGCTGGATTGGAAGTAGAACAGCCAGGACTAAATTGGTGCTTCTATAGGATGCCAGCACTATACCATAATGCTAGCCCTAGTTTTACTTTTTTTAATGCTTAATTTATTCATTGCTTTATTTGAAAAGCAGAGGAGAGAAATGGAGACAGGGAAGGATACAGGGAGTGAGGAAAGGAGACAAGAGGGGGAGAAAGAGATCAATCTTAGAGCACTGGTCCACTCTTCAAATGTTTGCAAAAGCCAGGACTAAGTCAGGCCAAAGTTGAGACAGGAATTGCATCCAGGCTTCCCACGTGGGTGGCGGGGACTCATGTACTTCTGCCATCATCTGTTGTCTTATCAGGTGCATTAGCAGGAAGCTTGATTGAAAGAGGCGGGGAAGCTGTTACGATGGTGTAGTGTGTAAAATTGCCCCCTAGGATGTCAGCATCCTACATAGACATTGGTTTGAGTCCCAGTTGATCTACTTCCAATCCATCTCTCTGCTAATTACCTGGGGAAAACAGCAGAATATGGCCCAAGGGTTTGGGTCCCTGCCACGTAAGTGGGAAGCCCAAATGAAGCTCCTGACTCCTGATTTCAGCCTAACCCAGTGCTGGCTGTTATGGCTATCTGAAGAGTGAATCAGCAGATGGAGGATATTTCTCTCTGTTTCTGTCAAACTCTTTCAAAATAAATAAATCTCAACTGATCCCAGGTACTATGGTACAGGTATGGCATCAGCAATCCTAAGTGGCAGCAGCTTAACCTGTGGTGCCACTGTGCCCTCCATAAGATTTTAAACAAATGTGGGGAGTTTGGCAAAGATGATACCTGGAACACTTGCATCCCACTTCAGGGAGCATGGGTTCGAGTCCTGGCTCCCCTCTTGATTCCAGCTTACTGCAATACGCACTTGGTGGGAGAAGCAGGTAATAGCCCAGGTAGCTGGGTCCCAGCCACTCACATGAATGACCTGGATTCAGTTCTGGGCTCTAGGTTTCAGTCTTAGGCTCTGGCCCTTGAGGGCACTTGGGTAATGAGCCAGTGAATGGGGACTTCCTTTTCTTTGCCTCTCAGAAAGTAAATGAACAAAATAAAAATAGATTAACCCAACTTTTAAGAATTTCAAAACCAAAGCTGAACAAACTCATACACAACGAGTAGTTTTAGGAAGATGAGTAGTGTTACCACTCATCAACTCAAAGATGCAAGTATCTCCCATTTATGCACAGGGAATGTGACTTGATCTGGGCCAACGGTAAACCAAGAAACGTGGCTTACAGTGCATTCCATGACATAATGCGGTTAATCCACAAAGCCAAAGAGCCTAACCACAGCACAGAAATGGTCACAGAACAGCTGAGAGAATCCAGAGGGGTCCTCCAAGAACAAGTTCCTCTGGGGAAGAAAGCCTGTGAAATCAAGGTGACCCTGGTGCACATTCTATAAGGATGTGGTTGTAGACAGACTGCAGCAGAATCCAGACTTCTACCCTGCCGTCAAAGCCCATGGAGAAAATGGTGCACTAACAGAGGTCCCAAGTTCTGGGCTGGGGGTGCTTGCTCACTATTCATAGGACTTTGGACAAAACATTTAGTGTTTCTATGCCTGGGTGTTTGGGTTTTTTCACTTGAAAAAAGTTGAAATATATAAAATTTCATGACATGGTGACTGCTACAGAGAAAGCCTCTGGACATTCATCAGTAAGACAGTATCAACGTTAGCGGACAGAGTGTTCTTCTAAACCTTCAAGGACAAAATGCTTGAAGACAGAGCACATTCAAAGACATTGCCAAAGAAATCACAGGATCCTAGAGTCGGCGGAGCCAACAGGCCATCTACCCCAAGCTTTTTCTTGTGGGTGACACACAGTCGATTTAGAGACATGAGAAGGAGGGCTCTGATGTCACTTCTGGATTGGCACCTGCTGGTTCAGGACCAGGACTTTTGCTATAACCACTCAGTGCTGATCTTCCTTATAGCTTGGTTTTCATTAAAATAAAACAAGTAAAAATGAAGCTAAGATAAAGATCCAACCTGTTCATCTGTCCCTAACAGCAAGTTATTCCATACTGGGTGCCCTGATTGGAGAGACGACACCTGGGAGCATGACTCACAGGGCTGGGGTCACTGCTCTTCCTCTGTGCAGAGGCGGACATGCTGTGGGGGTAGAAATGTGTCTCCACAGTAAGAAGACTCTTTGCCTAGGGGAGACCCCACTTCCAGAATGAAAGATGCACTTACTGCATGCTTGTATCTATAGATACAAGCAGGTGCATCTGGCAAAGGCAGGCAACCAATGCTGAATTAGCTGCTCTCCAGTTTCTTTCTAGCAGAGAACTCAGACAATCACTATCAGACAGGTGATGTGCCAGGCCTTCTCCCCAGGAGGGGCCAGGCCCTTAGAGACAGCTGGAGCCTGTGGTGATGAGATGGCTGGGCTGGCCTCCCCCTGCTGCCACTGTCCTTGCAGGCACACATGGCAACATGTTAGAGCCTGCTTCCTGAGGCTGTGCTGCATTTGTCTCCAGCTGATGCATACTGGTGGCATCTCAGTCCCTGCACTTTCCCATGAACTTTCACAAAGGCCACCAAAGCCCCAGCAGCATGGGATGGTCTCCACAACTCCACCACACTGCCCTGAAGATACAAAGCAGTCAGGCCACCTGTGATGTCTCAGGAGGCACATACCTTGCAGACGCTGGGACCCAGAAGACAATGATTCCTTCAGAGCAGCTGAGGTGAGAGACCGCTCAAGAGGTTTCACTTTGCTGCTTTCTCTTAACTTTTGGGAAGTTCACTCATTCATACAGTCTGAACTCAGAACACCAGATTTTTAGTCCTGGCTTCAGTACTTATAGGCTGTGTGACATTGGGCAGACAGCCTAAGCTCTCTGTGCCTGAATCACCTCATTCACTTTACAGTTGTTGTGAGGATTAAATAAGACAGCAAGTTTAGAATGAGCCTTCAGGACCGTGCCTGGCATAGACAAATTCCTTACTAATTCTTATTAATCTATTCATTATCTGGTTCTCTAGCACATA